ATAATTGCTACTTAATAGTTGTGAAAACAATTGGTAAGTAGGAATAATATAATAAAAATAAAATAGATTATGGAAGATAGGAAGGGTGGTTAAGATCATGGAAGAACGAGGGACTGAACATACTGTTTGTGTACGCAATGTTTACGCTTAAGCTGGTGGACAACAATAGTCTCTGCTGTACATGGGATTTTCATTTGCATTCCTATTGAGCTGACTCTTCTGACTGTATGTATGATATTGAAGCAGGCTTTCGATGAGGCGGAGTGGCCGGAATTGACTAGATACCCAAAGATTGAGCTTTTGACTGACTTCTGTAATTCTTTGTGCAGTCAGACAGGGTAATGTCCACAGATGTGCTTCAAACGAGCTCACTTTATGCAACCAATATATGCAGCTCCAAATGAGCAAGTAATCTGATAGATGCATATCCATTTCGCCCAAAGTGGGAGCTTATCCTTCACACAACTTCGAATCATAAGCCGACTAGAAAAGGCAATGCGAAGTTCAGCTGATTAGAACATTTTTCTCAGAGATCTTGAAAGCCTGTTTTTCAGAAATTTTGCTGCAATATTTCCTGTAAACTAAATGTTCATGAAGAGATCCTTCTTTGGTGCTATGGACACCCTTTTGCGTCGTTGTTTTTGCTTTAGATTTTTCTCCATGAATCTACATAAATATCCAATGTTGATCAATATCTGCATTAGTTTATCAAGTTCTATATCGATTGTAACTTCGGTACAGATACGTCTAACCCACTAACAGAATGGATCAGGTTTTGCTTTTATTTCAGTGCAAAGCAACTTTGAAAATTCATGTATTAACCATTCCATGTTAACTTTCTATATATCGATCTTCGTAGAGAATTGTCAGTTCTTCTTTTTAACAAAACTTCCAAGAAGTAGAATTCTGAATCCGACTCTGATTCTATTGTGAACTTAATTGATTGATGACAGATATTGAACGCATGCAGGATATCTGTGACAGTGATATTTTTATCACAAATATTGAAAGTGTAGTCTAAGGATTTCTTGTATAGACAGAAGCTGTCCGAATAGTGTTTTCCAGATTGGCAATTAAGCCATCATCTATAAGTGGTGACCCCGTCGCTACGTCATCAGTTTGTCTGCAGAATGCATTGTTAAGTTCAAATTAGACGTCGAGAGCAAATCGGATAAGCAGTTCCTTCAAATAGTGTATTGGAACACCAACATGCAGTTTGTTTTTTCAATATAATCATGTCGTAGTCAGATTGTTTCCGTCACAGGTACATTTGTAAGACAAGAGGCAATATCTAGTGAGTTCATTTTCTTTCCAGTTAAGTTGACACTTAATATTGGATCAACAAAATCAAACGAATCAGTAGTGGTGTATCTACTGGGTTGATTTCTGACTGGTCATAGGATTTCAGCTGGCCATTGGGCGATGGTATGATATGGCGAGTTCTACATATCTAATATAGGACGTGGTGGGGTATCTTTCTTATATATATGGTCATATAATAGAATAATACGTCCAGTTGGTCTGCGTTTTTCATGGAGGTCTCCACTGATAACTGATTTCTCTTTCCTTTCTTTAATAATTTTTGTTAATTTCTGCTGACTTTTATCTGTAACATCTTTTTGGACTTTTTCTTTGTTCATCACTTCGACATATTTTAATTAGTGCAACAAATTGTTGGGGTCAGTTGTTCTAGAATGTTCTGTAACTGTTCTGGATCCAGGTGAAGTTATCAGTTGTCCTCTCATGTGTTTATGAAATTTTTAGGAATTGATTTTGTGACTACTAAAATCAATCAAAATAATAGTTTCAATGACGCATTGTTACGGATAAGTGACATTAAGTAACGAAAGTAGGAAAACTTGTGACACCTTCAAAAAAATCTATAACCGATGTTATATTCTCTCCATATCAAACCCTATCATGATGAGTAGTGAAGCAAACTAACTGAGTAGTACACGAGTTTTACTGGAATACTCTACTAACCTTTTCGTGACAAAATAAAAAAAACATATACCTTCATCATATTTTAACAAGTCAACTATAATTTAATTATCAGTATGGGGGTTGTGGAGATTGTTAAGTTTTTGGTTGAAATCATGAATCAATTGATGTTAGACCACCGTTGGAAACCTGGAAGCACTGGACGGCCGTTTCGTCCTAGTATGGGACTCCTCATCAGTGCGCATCCACGATCCCGCACCCCGCGGGATTCAAACCAAGGACCTACTGGCTTCGCGCCTGAGCACTTAACCATTAGACCACTGAGCCGGCATCCAATGGTGTTAGTGTCTAACATCAACCAATCCACGAAATTGCTCGACCAACTTCTATTGTACTGAGGTAGATACCTGTCTCTACCCGACACGGATTAGCTCCACTGGTCACGACTTCTCACTAGAACTCCGAGAATTCCCTCACGAAGCTGTTATAATTTGTGACCGCCGATTAGAGAGCAGTGACTTATCGATCGCATCAAAGACGCGTAAACACGTGCGAGTAGTCTAGAGTTCTGATTGGCCCTGCTTTCCGCCTAGCCCAGCCAGATAAGTTCAGAACACAAGTCTCAGCCTCTGCGATATGAATAATTTATTTCAAACATACTCGGTTTACATATCAACCAGACAGACCACATCATACCATAAAATAGAAAATAACATTTGTACAATATTTGGCCAACAGGAAAATGACACGTAAAATAAATATTGACCAGTAGGGAAACGACACGTGAAATAAAAGCTAACCAATAGGAGAATGATGCCATTTCAAGTCCAAGGATAGCATTAGACTTAACAGGATAATTTTTGGGATATTTTTCTGAATATCCCAACACCCTTTTTCTGAAGATCCGGAGTTGATATCTGGATTTTAAATTTCCCGAGTTCATCCTCCTCCGCGAAATAATTTTGGGTCCTCATATACCCAAATTACAATTAACTTGACTGTATTTAAAGTATATTTCCCGCATGGAGTAGAGAGTCCACTAGAACTGACTAGATGGTGAGTATCAGCGACCCTAGATATGAGGTCATTAAGGTTTGATTCTAATTTTTGGGATATTTTTCTGAATATCTCAAGATTATCATCATCAGGATTGGAAAATATTTTGATGATAATTCTCACTTTTATTCATAGGTAACGTAGTCATCATTACATGACAATAATTGGTCGTAAAAATTATTTCAATTTACTAAATGTATCCCTAAAACTGTTTGATCTTCAGTTGTATATTAGTGAGGCAACATAATGAAGAGTGAAATTAATTAATTCAGTGATTGGTGAATATATGCTCTTCAGTGTGGTCTCTTAATAATGAAAGAAAAAAAGTTAAAAACTGTTTTGGAGTACTTCGTAGAGTTGAATCATTCAATGATCATAAATATTGATATTTAAATTGGGAAAAATGTTTCTTACAACAATCATGTTTAAATTAGACACAATCATCTACTCCTTGTTATTCATCTGAAATCAAAGTTCATAATTAGTTTTATTGAACAATAAACTATCTGTAAGCCAGAAAATTTAGAAAATCAATAAATACGTTAATATATTTTTATTAGTCTGAAAGGTAATAATAAATATTCTTATTATTAACATTGTTTTCTTCTTGATTACTACAGAGATTCAATTATAGCACAAATTAACACGGTATACTTTAACGAAACATGTACTGACTCTCAGTGTGATATAGCATTTCGTTATTCAGTGATGCCAATCACCACCATGCCACTCGTTATCACCTTCAAGCTTTCCACCCTTGGATCTGTGTTCACGAAGACATTAACAATCACTGCTCAAACTAACTATTCTATTCAGATGGTATGACTCAAATTTTTATCTCAATTTTATTCAACATTTTGTCTCAGAACTATATCTCGTTGATTACTCATTGTTACGAGTGAGTAACAGACACGCACGACTTACAGAGTCAGAAGGGGACTCTGGTACTTTAGTTCGATTAGTTGTTGTGAATTTTGACAAAAGTATCAGAACTACTTAGTTTCTGAAGGTGATTCCTCTGATAATAAAAAACGTGAATTAAGACATGTTACAATTCATGCCGTACTGGTTTCATGAAAAGCAGATCACTCTAACACCAACATGTTAGAGTTATAGAAACATATTTGTTGTCACATACTAATGGTAACACTTATTTTTAAAGTAACACCGCATTGTCAGTTTGGAGCTGTAGAGATCGTTGGATTTTATTGAAGTCGCCAACCGATCCAAGTTAGACAGCCACTGAAAAACTGGTAGCACTGGACAGTCGTTTCATTATAGTTTGGGATCTCTCAGGAATCCACATCCACTAACCCGGAGTTGAGATCGCGCCCAGGACATTCGGCCTCGATAGAAAACGCCTGACTTTTAGACCGGTGAGTCGGAATCCAATGGTGTACAAATCTAACTACGATAAATCCATGATAGTGGGCGACCATCTCACATTGACTTTTATTGCCAGTGAATTTATGCCCAATAGAAAGAAGGGTCTCATGGTTATGAAAATATTGTTATAGCTGTGGTAATGAACCATGTTCACTTGATCAATACTAGAATTCCTAGTGAATCCCATTTCAAAGCTGTATGTAATAAAGACTGTTTTGATGTTACAGGTTTTAGTCTGAAAAGACTGGATATCAGAATTAGACGGAGACGCTTGTTAGGGACTGAATTTTCTAATGTAAATATTGATTTCAGGATGATGATCTCATGAAGCCCACCATGCATAAGTAACGAGAAGTGAAAGTTTATAGACTTCTTTTTTTTCAGATTAAGTTTTAATTCATGATCATATGTATTGACTACGCCTTGTAATTAGGATTTTGTAAAGTATTCAAACCACTCATCCATATGTTATGGTAGTGTATTTACTTTTATGTTTTACTGAAAATGAAATTTAATTTAATTTTCCTTTGAAAATGTCCAACACCAACTTACGTCTCCCGATCATTTTAAAGCCAATAAGCCAGGAACCGCAAGTGCAATTAGTTTCCCTTGAGTCGATGACTATTAAAAATCAACTTGTACCGAACACCTATACGTGGCTAAAGTTATCCTTAATTCCAAAACCCAATGTATGGGGGACAATAGATTTTCGACTTTATGCACCGGGTTCCTTCAAAGAATACATATTTTTAAATCCACGACTCAGAACTCAATGCTCATCATTACCGTTTATCGGCTTATCAGCAACTGCTATAGATAATATGGTTTATATTAACGTGGAGAGAACTTATTATGAAGGTTTGTTTATGTTTATTTCACAATTTTATTGACCGAAGTTGTTGTCGATAGATTTCCTTTTGTTAATAAATAGTATATTTTTGCATAACTAACTTGTAAATCACGACACCTATCAAAATAATTCTTCATCAATTGATTTTTATGATTTTGTTTCTACATATACTGTTGTAGTAAGAGCGATTGTAATTTTACGCGAAATACTCCCTCTTAGAAAACTGTCAATAAGTTTTTCTTTCGAATATTGTATGACAGGATTGGTCCGAAAGCATAGTGGTTTCTCGAAGGGTATAGTATTATATTAAGAGTTATTCAAGGAAAACACTCGGATTCGGTTTGGATCAAATTGAGATTTCTCGGTAATAAGTACTAAGTCCAGATGAAATATAGACAAACAACTAGCAGTAATGCTAATCGATAAGAAGTAACTTATTCGAAAAGCCAAAATATGACGACATATGAACCACTGTGCAGAGGAGAGACAACAAATTTATGAAAAAAGAGGAATCGATGTGTTCCTGCCTTAAGTTGATAAATATTATGCTTTATCATTGACATTACCTACAAATGAACTTACGTCCATTACTTCTCGTACAGCTCAGGTAAACGACCAGAATTCTCCGAACAACTGTGTTCTGTGGTTTCATTTTCGGTCTTCGCTAAATATTATACATCAGTTTGGTGCCTGCCTTTAATTTCTGACGCAACGCGTTCTCGGGTCTGGCCACGTTTTCGGTTAAAACCATTCAACATTAAGGATTCGATGAGTCCCGCAATGATTGGCCAACAAACCTCCAGCATCGTTTTCTACTTTCTTCATTAAAAAAATCTAGTTTGATTATGACTGGCAAGTGGACGTTAAGTGTCCTTCGCAGACAACCATTTGCAAAGACCTGTGACATTTTCTGTGATGCTTGTAGTAGTTATTCATGTTTCTGCTTCATACAAAAGAAACAACTATATTGACGTTTGTAATGAAAAATCTAACTCCCATGTTGGCTGAAAGTTTTTTTGAGCGCTATATTTTCCTTAATAATAGGAATGCTATTCCTGCTTTGCCAATCAGATCCTTTATATCTTCTTATGATCCTCCTTCTTCATTGATGACACTACAAAGGAACGTGAAAAATTCCATCTCGTCACGAGCGTATCAATCAAGTGTGAAAGTGTTGGTGTTCTCCGTGTTGTGTATAAGGATATTGCTTATTTACATGTGCATGTTGAGGCTTATTGATACGTAAGCTGCTGCAACACTGGCTATCTTCATTTGCAATGATGGCATATATATAATAAAACAGATAGATCTATTCAAGAGTTCCCCAAAGTGTTCTATCATCCTATTGCTCTGTTCTTAAATCTCAGTGATCGGCTTGTTTCCTTTGTCCTTGACAGACCTCTCTGGTTTACTATATTTCCCTGCCAGCTTCTTCGTTGTGCAATATCGTTGTTTGATATTTCCTTCTTTTACAGTTTTTCCCACTGTCGTTACTAGGTCTTCCACATATTTCTGTTTGTCAGTTATAATGCTCCTCTTCACTTGTTTGTTCGCCCCAGTGTATTTAGCTTGTGACTTGACTTTCTCCGTTCTAGTTCGACCATTATTGTTAATTGCGGTCTTCCTGTTCTTCCTTTCTGAATCGTGTCCAGGGTTTGCATAGAGATGAATTCCTTATGATGATGCTTGTTGCGGCCCACAATCTCCTGATACGTTGAAGTTAGTGCTTGTTTGATACTTTTCCAGTTGTCCTCCATGGTAGTTTCTTCTTCTTTCAGTAGATCCTGTGAGGCTTGTGGCGTGTTGTTGAGAGTTATCTTGAATTAGTTGAGTTTGCTAGTATCTGGAAGGAAGGCTGTATTGAGTGTTTGTAATGCTGTTTTTCCAGTTGTCCAATGCTTCTTTAGCTTTAGTTTCACCTTGACCACACCCAGGTAGATGGTAGATCTGAAACAATGTCAACTACTCTCCTGATTCTCACGTCTTCCATCGACCTTCTAAATATTCTACTGATGCAAATAGGATCGATCTGCTTCTGTGTGGTGTGATCCGTCGAAACTCATGTGGCGTTGTGTATACGTTTGTGGTGGAATATTGTGTCACCTATAACCACTTAATTGGATGCACATAGATTCGTAAATCTCTCCCCATTCTCGTTCATTTCTCCCAGTCCACAGTCCATTTCGTCCCACGATATGTTCGTATCTCGTGTTGTTCATTCCCACTTTGGTGTCTAGGTCTCCCATCAGGATGCTCAGGTGTTTTTCTGTGCACTTCTCTATGATTTATTGCAGCCTCTCTTAACACCGACTTTTATCGTCGTCATTGCTATCATTGGTGGGTGCACAACACTGGATAATATTCATAGTGATTTCGTTCTTCTTTATTTTGAAGGATGCTTTGGTGATTCTGGATCTGTGAAATTCCCATCCTGTAAGTGCATTTCGTGCTTGATTGTACAACTTCGGAGCAACTCCCTGAGTGTGTGGGGCATTTTCCTCTTCGTGACCGGAGTACAGCAGCATTTCTCCTGAAGCTAATCTTTTCTGTCCAGGTTGAGTCCAATAATTTTCACTGATTCCGAGTACTGTCGAGTCGTACCTCCTCATTTCCGTTGCTAATTGATTAATCTTTCCGATCTCCCACATTGTTTGAAAATTCTATGTGACTATTAAACTTGTTGCTGTGATTGTTAGGTGTGACATCAGCCTCATGACTTTCGAACAATCTCGGTCTTCATCCTGAGGCATCATAATTCTTCTAAATGAAGATCCTTCAACTCGGATAGTAGAGTTTAAATGGTTTAACCTGTTTAATCTGGTTGTCGTCTGTTTTAGTAGGATTATCTCCTACTGGATGTGGTTGGTGATCCCATGCTCAAATCTTCTCCTTTATCTCTGCTTGTGACCGGCAGTAACCGTAGATAAATCCTAGGCGGAGTTATCATTTATAGTATAAACAGTCTCTGCATCAAAAAACTTAACTGATAACTATAACTGAACATTTGAACTTTCTTGACTACATAATCACTCTTATACATAAGCGTTTTCAATTTTACATTTTCTTTTGAATTTTGTTGTGATTTCACGAATACACTGATTACAAATATGATCTGAATGATGATAATTCACAATTATATTTTCTACTTAGTTCTTCAATTTTACACATGAATGGCTTATGTGTAAACTTGGAAAATGGTTATGTTTAAATACAATGAAACACATTTTGAATAAATACACTTTTGTGGATAGGTAAAACGGTTAGTCTCTTATGAGTCTCTCAGTTAGTAACCCGATTTTACATCGAATAGCTAAATTTACTCTACGAATAATCTTGAGTAAATTCAGTTAAGTGGAAAACTATATTAGTATATACTCTGCTGAAGAAAAAGATCAACGAATATTTTAGACAACTGGAAAATCCATTATCATTTCGAGAAGGGTCAACAAATCACTTGGGGAATTTTTGATTAAACGTATCACAGATTATATTTTTATTGTTTGGTTGTTTGTAGTGAATTAGGATCTTGGATATAATTTTGTACTGATTAATCAATATTTGTTTTTAACAGAATAAAATTCCATACACATAGTTCCCTTTATTACCTTAAATAGAGCAAGAACAAAGATTGGTGCAGAATAATATGAATTCATTTTATTTCGTTAGGTTCTAATCAGCTGCTTACAACCTAAATTATTTGAAATTCAAATTCTAACAGATATTGACATATTTATACACAAGAGTGTGATGAAGGATTAATACATGTGTATGATGATGTAGCAAAGATTCATAGAGAGTTAATGAAAGTCAAAGGAACACTTATGTTTTGGCTTTCCGGAAAACCCCGAAAAGTTTCTCTATAATCTATCAACAATGAAGTTAAATCAGATAGAAACAGAAGCCTTGTCACTTGGATTTAAATTTCATATCCCCAAAACACATGCCGACAGAATCGACACAGAAACTCAATTTGAGAATTTATTTGATCAAATTAAAGAGCTGCACCCAGTTAGTGAAGAAAAGAAAGGCTGGTTTAAATCTAAACTAGTCGATATTGCAAACCAATATCTTGTTTCACCCGCACCACAGTCTAAGCTTTTATCCAAAGACCACCAAACAGCATTACGAAATATTAAACGAAATGACGATATAATGATATTACGGTCAGACAAAGGCTCAAGTGTTGTTCTAATGAACAAAACAGATTATGTTTTAAGATGAAGTCCATCTTGAATGACCATATGAGATTCAAGTTAGAAAAAAGTAACAAAGACTTAACTGATTCCATTGAGAAAAGAATCACCAAAGTACTCAGAGATCTTCTGAAAAAGATGATCGATAACTCTACTTACAATAATCTACGACCTCGTGGGTCTCGTTTGCCCCACATGTATGGATTACCGAAAATACATAAACAAGGTTATCCTCTTAGACCTATTTTGTCAATGATCAATTCACCATACCACAAAGTTGCACGATGGTTGGCAGATAAGTTAGAACCAGTGCGTCAACGATTAGCCACCTATACACTAAAGGATTCATTTGTATTTGCTGACAGCATGAATCACATAAATATTGCTGGTAAGTTTATGGTTTCTTTTGATGTAACATTTTTGTTTACAAAAATACCACTTCTTGAACCATAGACATAATTTGTCAACATTCTGACATCCTACCTCTACCAGTACCAGAATTCAAACGACTATTACTCATTTGTACAAAAGATGTTCAGTTCCAGTTCAACGATATCATATACAAACAAACCGATGGTGTAGCGATGGGAAGTCCGTTAGGTCCTGTCCTAGCAGATATTTTCATGGCTAACCTCGAAAGAACCAAACTCAAACGAGCGATTGATGAAATGACGTATTATTCGAGGTATGTTGATGATACCTTCATCGTATGTAATAATAAACAACATGCAATAAATCTGCTAGAGTTTTTCAACGAAGCACATCCGAATATCCATTTCACTATGGAACATGAAAAAGAAAACAAGTTCCATTTTCTCGATATCGCGATGAAAAGAAGAAAGGATGGTACAGTTCAACGTTCAGTTTATAAGAAAGACACATGGAATGGTAGTTATCTTAATTTCAATAGCTTTTGTCCAATCAGTTACAAAAAGGCACTGGTCAAAACACTGTTTCACAGAACAGAAAGAATATGTACTTCCGATACACTAGAAGAGGAAGTTATGAATGTTAAAAAATGTTTAAAGAATAACGGATACCCACTGAAATTTATTGAGAAATACGGCAAATGTGAAGATAAAAAACCGAAAGAAATTACAGCAAATAAAAAGCCTATTTTTATTCAACTTCAATTCAAAGGTGACGATGTCACAGGATCAATCAATATGAGACTAAAAACTGCACTGACAAGAACTTATCCTGCAGCGAAATTGATTGTCCTGTCCAAAACAACATGTTCTTTGACACAATCAAAGGTCGATAGGTATCCCTTTCATGTTACCACCAACTGTGTATACAAATTTACATGTACCTGCCAAAGCAGTTACATTGGTAGAACAGAAAGGAGAGCCTACGTCCGATTCAAAGAACATATTCCGAAAAGTTTAAGGTTAAATGGATTGAACGCATTCAACAGTGCTATCGCAAGACATCTCCTTGATACAGGACATAAAGCTGATATACTGAAGTCCTTCAAGGTGATTAACAAACAATCAAACTCGAACCTTTTGAAATTCGCTGAAGCGTTAGCAATCAAACGTTTAAAACCAGATCTATGTATACAAAAAGAGACAGTAATAAATCTTTCTTTACCCTGGTAACAATAACCCCTTTTATTCATTTATTTCTCTATTTATTTATTGCGTCATTATTCCAACTCTTTTAAATTACATCATACATAAATGATTGATTTCAATTCATATTTTCTTTATTACCATTAATCTATTTTCATGAGTTCTAATCACTATTTCAATGTTCTGGAACTTTCCCTCTCTAACTTTATTTATTTATTCGAATCAAACATTTTATGAGCTCATTAACTCTATCTGAATCTTTACTACATCATCATACACATGTATTAATCCTTCATCACACTCTTGTGTATAAATATGTCAATATCTGTTAGAATTTGAATTTCAAATAATTTAGGTTGTAAGCAGCTGATGAGAACCTAACGAAATAAAATGAATTCATATTATTCTGCACCAATCTTTGTTATTGCTCTATTTAAGAATAAAATTCACCGAACTGCTACAAAGTGCAAAACCATATACTCAGTAAGCTTCGTTTTGCCAAATTTAGTGAAATAAATCTGATTTTTTGTTGATTGTAACTGAAGCAAGTCAATAATGTCGTCTTGTTGCTGTTTACAGCTACATTTTCATCATTCTCAAGAATTACTAGATGTTGATGATGTGATTCATCTGTTTACGTGGTAAATTCCTAGTGATAAAGCTCTTCTTGTAATTATCAAATAATCACAACCAATAACCTAAGACAGACGATTAATCACATTGTACACTTCATACAATTGACACTGTTTTTCCTCGTCCATATTTGGTTACAACGTATCTGAGATAAAAATAAATAACTATGAAAAATTAACTTTTAATTAATAGTTTGTGTTTTGGTTTTGTATAGGAATTGTGAAGGATTCAACATTATCACTAACAAATGAGATAAGTTATATTATTCCAATGTTTACTGCTAATTATAACCAGGTACCAGTAAATTTCACTTACAATATGATCATTGGTTCCTATTCTACTTCTGGTAGCTTCATGTTTATTACTACTACTCCAGCAGTGAGTTAAATAAATTATTTCGTATTATACGTTTTAATCTGCATAATTATCTGACTGATGATGCTTTTCTTTACCTAATTAATTCACTTTGCTTTATTTTCAAAGTAAACAGATATGAGATCCGACAATAACTATTAAATATAAGTCTGGAACGAATTCTGACTGCCAAATAAACGAAAACAATCATGTTATGAAATATCTATCCGCTTTTCACATGAGCTGTGATGAAATAATTGTTCTTATATTTCCATTTGGAGATATGTATATTTCGTCCAGTATAGCTAGTACCATAAACTGTTATAACAAACGCCATTTTAGTGAAAACACACTTATAGTAAAAATTATTACCGTAGAGATTATTTGTTCTGGTTACTCCACAAGATTTCGATCTGTACAAACCACATAATTTTGAAAACTCTTTTCTTGATCCCTACTTCGCTGAAGTAAAACTAATAATTTAGAATATAGGGAAAAACAAATATGTTGGTTCCTGTTTATCTGAATTACAGCTACTGATCCCCATAAAAGAAGAAACAAATCAGCAATATTAATTTGACACAACTGACTTCTGTCTGAAGTAAAGTATATAATAAATCAGATCATATTTGTAATCAGTGTATTCGTGAAATCACAACAAAATTCAAAAGAAAATGTAAAATTGAAAACGCTTATGTATAAGAGTGATTATGTAGTCAAGAAAGTTCAAATGTTCAGTTATAGTTATCAGTTAAGTTTTTTGATGCAGAGACTGTTTATACTATAAATGATAACTCCGCCTAGGATTTATCTACGGTTACTGCCGGTCACAAGCAGAGATAAAGGAGAAGATTTGAGCATGGGATCACCAACCACATCCAGTAGGAGATAATCCTACTAAAACAGACGACAACCAGATTAAACAGGTTAAACCATTTAAACTCTACTATCCGAGTTGAAGGATCTTCATTTAGAAGAATTATGATGCCTCAGGATGAAGACCGAGATTGTTCGAAAGTCATGAGGCTGATGTCACACCTAACAATCACAGCAACAAGTTTAATAGTCACATAGAATTTTCAAACAATGTGGGAGATCGGAAAGATTAATCAATTAGCAACGGAAATGAGGAGGTACGACTCGACAGTACTCGGAATCAGTGAAAATTATTGGACTCAACCTGGACAGAAAAGATTAGCTTCAGGAGAAATGCTGCTGTACTCCGGTCACGAAGAGGAAAATGCCCCACACACTCAGGGAGTTGCTCCGAAGTTGTACAATCAAGCACGAAATGCACTTACAGGATGGGAATTTCACAGATCCAGAATCACCAAAGCATCCTTCAAAATAAAGAAGAACGAAATCACTATGAATATTATCCAGTGTTGTGCACCCACCAATGATAGCAATGACGACGATAAAAGTCGGTGTTAAGAGAGGCTGCAATAAATCATAGAGAAGTGCACAGAAAAACACCTGAGCATCCTGATGGGAGACCTAGACACCAAAGTGGGAATGAACAACACGAGATACGAACATATCGTGGGACGAAATGGACTGTGGACTGGGAGAAATGAACGAGAATGGGGAGAGATTTACGAATCTATGTGCATCCAATTAAGTGGTTATAGGTGACACAATATTCCACCACAAACGTATACACAACGCCACATGAGTTTCGACGGATCACACCACACAGAAGCAGATCGATCCTATTTGCATCAGTAGAATATTTAGAAGGTCGATGGAAGACGTGAGAATCAGGAGAGTAGTTGACATTGTTTCAGATCTACCATCTACCTGGGTGTGGTCAAGGTGAAACTAAAGCTAAAGAAGCATTGGACAACTGGAAAAACAGCATTACAAACACTCAATACAGCCTTCCTTCCAGATACTAGCAAACTCAACTAATTCAAGATAACTCTCAACAACACGCCACAAGCCTCACAGGATCTACTGAAAGAAGAAGAAACTACCATGGAGGACAACTGGAAAAGTATCAAACAAGCACTAACTTCAACGTATCAGGAGATTGTGGGCCGCAACAAGCATCATCATAAGGAATTCATCTCTATGCAAACCCTGGACACGATTCAGAAAGGAAGAACAGGAAGACCGCAATTAACAATAATGGTCGAACTAGAACGGAGAAAGTCAAGTCACAAGCTAAATACACTGGGGCGAACAAACAAGTGAAGAGGAGCATTATAACTGACAAACAGAAATATGTGGAAGACCTAGTAACGACAGTGGGAAAAACTGTAAAAGAAGGAAATATCAAACAACGATATTGCACAACGAAGAAGCTGGCAGGGAAATATAGTAAACCAGAGAGGTCTGTCAAGGACAAAGGAAACAAGCCGATCACTGAGATTTAAGAACAGAGCAATAGGATGATAGAACACTTTGGGGAACTCTTGAATAGATCTATCTGTTTTATTATATATATGCCATCATTGCAAATGAAGATAGCCAGTGTTGCAGCAGCTTACGTATCAATAAGCCTCAACATGCACATGTAAATAAGCAATATCCTTATACACAACACGGAGAACACCAACACTTTCACACTTGATTGATACGCTCGTGACGAGATGGAATTTTTCACGTTCCTTTGTAGTGTCATCAATGAAGAAGGAGGATCATAAGAAGATATAAAGGATCTGATTGGCAAAGCAGGAATAGCATTCCTATTATTAAGGAAAATATAGCGCTCAAAAAAACTTTCAGCCAACATGGGAGTTAGATTTTTCATTACAAACGTCAATATAGTTGTTTCTTTTGTATGAAGCAGAAACATGAATAACTACTACAAACATCGACAAAACGGTACAAGTATTTCTAAACAATTGTCCACGCGAGATACTGAATGTCCGTTGGCTGAATGCCATCAGCATCATTCTAGTGTGGAAAAGAACAAATTAGCTTGCAGTTGATGAGAAAATTGGGAAAAGATGCTGCAGGTGGTTAGGATATATGTTACGGAAATCACGAAACTGCATCATGAGACAAGCGCTTACCTTGAATCCTGATGGGAAACTGAAAAGAGGAAGGCGGAAGAACACATTACGTTGTGAATTGGAATCAGACATGAGAAGAATGACTAGCAACTAGAAATTGTTGGGAAGGATTGTCCAGAACAGAGTTGGATGGAGAATACTGGTTGGTGGCCTGTGCTCCTCTACGAGATGTAAGAAATGTAAGTCAGTAATCTAATTATGCATTAGGCATGGTCAATTCCAGTATCTATGATATTTCACCTCATTCTGTTTATATGATAGACGTTTTGAATTTCAGTTCAAGTAGATAAAGATAATTCCTGAATCCTTGCATTATAGTCCATCAGTCAGTCAGTCAGTCAGTCAGACAGTCAGTCAGTCAGTCAGTCAGTCAGACAGTCAGTCAGTCAGTCAGACAGTCAGTCAGTCAGTCAGTCAGTCAATCAGTCAGTCAGTAATAACCTGGACCTTCGTACGTACGTAAATACGTTCGAGTTGCCATGCCACATTAACACAGAGATGCAGTTATGTATTCAAATCCCGTACTGCTAGATGTAATAAAATTATAAGCTGTAATCAGAAAAATTAGGGTTTGAAGATGTTATTCAAGGAGTATAATCCAGTGAAACAAATTTGCAAAGAAAATAAGGGACATAAAGAATTCAGAAGACTAGAATTTGGGAGAACACAAAGAGTGGATGCACCTGCGCCATTGCAAACGATTTTGAGCCATGTCATTCAAGGTCTCTAACCATCGGCTGCTATCATCTCGCGGTCCCCAACCAGGTAGTCTACACCTACCGACCCACTTGTCAGTGACTTCATGGACTTGTGCCATGTTTTGGTCTGACCGCCCTTAGCTTTCTTACAACTTACTCCTACATCAGAAAACATCTCACTTCGGTGGAGTCGGTGGTTGGGCATACGTAACACATGTCCCAGCCACCTCAACTGATGAAGTTTCACTACGTCATCAATTGATTTGCCATCCTTACCTAGTACCTGTTTCCTTCACAACTGAGTTACTTACTGAGTATGAATCGTTGAGTAAATGACCATTCCCGAAGGCAGCAGTTCTATATTCTGTTTAAACTTACGTCATATGAGTAAAATATGCTTCTGTGATCGCTTAGTATGTGGACGTCTGAGTGGAGAACTGTTTGAAAATCTGGGGTTCTCCAATAATCCAAAAGTCAGAATTTTAAATATTCACGAATGAGGCATTTCTGGGATGAAAATTTATAACTTTGAAGAATCTGGAACAATAAATTTTATGCTACCTACAGTATTTCAATTCTATACGTTTTTTTCCCTTATACAGGTAGTCGTACCGTCTATCTATACATTTTATCGTTTTCCTTTTGATGATCCCAAATCTGTATATACAAAAATGTGCACTGGAGAATCGGTTGATATAATAGCAGTTACATATCCAAAGGCGAAGCGTTGCTCATACATAACTCAATGGATAAATCGGCTTTTAAGTAATGTTATCGCCTTGAATATATCTAGGGTGTGGTTGTCGCGGAATGGTGGGGGTGTGTGGATACCAAGAGGATTTACTATTAATATGACCTATGTGAATAGGTACAGTGTAACTTAATATTATCAACTTTTTGTTAAGATGTTGTAAATCTTGACTTTCCTAACTTTTTTCTATGAAACTGATCTTTGATTTTTTTTAGTCAAAGCGTATTTTCAACTGATGACATCTGACAATCTGTATGTTGCTTAGGTTGATCCCCTTTAATTCAAGTGATATTAAGTTGATTTGTTGTACATAGATATATAATCTTATTTACTTTCCTACTTGAGTGCATTTTTATCCTACGAAAGTTCAAAAAATTTCTGAGATTCACTTCGAGTAAAACTATATGAACATTAGTTTCAACATTTCAGTCGTAAGCCTGACTAACTATTTTGCCTTTCTGAATTTTTCATAAAGCACAATTTCTTTACAGCCAAAAGATTGGTGAAAATTTTTGAAAATCATACAACATCGAAATAGTGCTACTTGCTCTTAAC